GCATGATTGGTTCTTACATGTTGTCTTTTCCGATGAAGCTCATCAGCAGAACGTGACTTCTGAGCAGCTTTGGTTCTGGACTCGGGATTCCTGCCGTCTGCAGCCTGAAACACAAACACTATAAGGTTCTACTGGGTTCTATCAGCTGGTCGGCACAGGTTCTACTGGGGTCTATCCGCTGGTTGGACCAGGTTCTACTGGGTACTATAAGCTGGTAGGATCAGGTTCTAATGGGTACTATGAGCTGGTCAGATCAGGTTCTATTGGGTTCTATCTGCTGGTCGGCTGAGGTTCTATTGGGTTCTATCAGCTGGCTGGAACAGGTTCTACCGGGTTCTATTAGCTGGTCAGCTCAGGTTCTATTTGGTTCTATTTGTCAGTAGAAAGGTTCTGACCTGATGAGGTTTCTCATCTCCTTCTCTGCCCAGGTTCTCACCATCTTCCTGGGGTTTCCTTTACAGTAACCGTGACGGAACCTGCAGAACAACAGAAGAAGAACTTGAAACAGTTACTGGACCTGTTAGAACGTCATGATGACTGAGAACAGCTAATAAACTGCTGATTATTGATTATGACACTAGTTGACGGATGCCTGTTTTATTTTGAAGACGACAGGAAGTTCATATCTGTAGTGAGGGGGAGGAGCCTGTGTGTTCTCCTGCTGCTGATTGTTGTTTGGAGTTAACGACAGCTGACTGTCATGTTAGCTAACATGTTAGCACAGTCGCCTCACAGCGAGCAGACGGGCCCGGGTTTGATTCTCGGGCCGGACGGGTTTGTGTGGAGTTTGTTGTGTGTCTCTATCAGTGTCAGCTGGGATAAGCTCCGCCCCCTCATGAGATGATGGATGTGTGACCGACCTGAACTCTCCACTGACGTATTTGTCTCGGTCTTTGAACAGCAGGATGGACGTCTTGTAGATCTTAATGGCTCTGCTTTCTCCTGCTGACGTGATGGCGTGATAAACATTAGCCTGGAACACACAAACAAACACACACACACACACATCTGTTTATAAGTAACGTCAGACTGTTCAGCATCTGTTCTAATCAGTGTATTGATCAATATAAATCAGTGTATTGAGTATAAATCAGTGTATTGAGTATAAATCAGTGTGTTGAGTATAAATCAGTGTGTTGATCTGTGATTTCTGACCTCCTTCCCTGTACTGATGCAGCCATTGATTTCACAGATGACTCCTCGACTCAACATCTTAAAGAGAATCATTCGAGTCCGAGGATCTAAAACCTGCAGAAGAAGAAGAAGACCATCAATCAGCTGATCACAACAACCAGGGAGAGAGGAACAATCATGAAATGTGTTTGATCACAGTTTAAGTTATGACATAATGAGGAAAGAGAAGATAAACTTTAACTCACATTAATTTTCTCTAAACACAAATTGTTCAGTGTTGCTCAAAGACACGTGTACATGAGGACGTGACACATGTACACAACCCCCGACCCAGTGTTCATAACACAACCTGCTTTACCACTAAAAGTCCAAAACTGTTCACCTTCCTTTGTGTTTGATTTGTCAAGTAATCAATAAACTACCACTCAGATGAATTGATAATCTCACCTGTTCCACTGTGGCTCGATCTGATTTGTCCTTCACTCTGTACCTGCAGACAGCAGCCAATCAGATCGTTAGTCACATCGGTAACTCACCTGTGATGTCACATAACAGGTGAGTTCAGACCTACGTGTCGGCTTCTTTCTGTTTCTGCATCGTCGTCACTTTATTGATCACAGAGTCGGCATAATTCAGTTTGTCTGAAACAATAACAAACAAACTGATGAGGAACAAAATCAATAGTATTGATGATTGACTTTCATTCTGTCAAAGATACAATACTGTTTTAGAGCTTCAAGCAGGAGCAAAGCTTTTGTTGCTGAGCAGATGAAAGTGAATCAACAGGCGAGTTGTAAATTGGTGAATATCTTAATAAAATGAAGGCCTTTACATGGTGTTCTTGTAAACGTAGCTCATTCCCAGTGTTCTCTCCTTTGTGACTCATAATACTCTTCTGTTTAACCTGATGGACCATTGAGGTTTCCTCTTTCATGATGGTGTCTGCATATAAAACATTCTACAATTGTGTCTCTGGTGAACAGGGAGGAAAACAAACTATTGTTCTTCGTAACAGAAAACTAAGTATTGTTCTTAGTAACGGAAAACTAAGTATTGTTCTTAGTAACAGAAAACTAAGTATTGTTCTTAGTAACGGAAAACAAACTATTGTTCTTAGTAACGGAAAACAAACTATTGTTGTTAGTAACAGAAAACTAAGTATTGTTCTTAGTAACG